TCACATCGGGTATGGGCTACATTCCTGCCCCTCCCCTCCCACTATAAGCGCTAGTGATTCATCTCAGTGACTCTTGAATCTGTTCACTGAGTGACTCTTTATGCAGTGACATCTTTACGCCGGTAGGTGGCGGCGAGTGAGTGTCATTGAAGGTCAATGCCATGTTACTTAAAGGGGTCCTATTATGCTCTTACAAAGTCTTGATTTTGTTTTGGGGGTGTACTAGAACAGGCTCTCATATAAGTTGTTCGAAAAACACATTATTTTTCACATATTTTACATTACAACGCCTCTCTCCCCAGTCTGGCATGATGAACGGCTCGAATAGTTCCTGCATCAAATGAAGGCCCGCCTTCTGAAATACGAAATGTGCTGTGATTGGTTAGCTGGGCCAGTGTGTGTTGTGATTGGCAAACCCAAACAGCAACATTACAGACTAACTAAAGTTGAAAAAGTGAAAAAGCATAATAGGACCCCTTTAACTTATACTTATCTATCAATACAAGCAATCTCTCTATTTAGCCCATGTATGTGTAGCCTAGTGCATATAGAGAACTGTGTATGCTATCATTCAAATGTCCACACTTTATAAGTGGAGCATATCTTTAGAAAATTAAATTAAAATGATAAGTTAAGGAAAATATGTTAAGTGTGACTTTTACAATACCAAAATCTGATTGTCCACTTAAATTTTATACATTTAAAGCGTGTCTTAAGTAGGTCAAAATTAAGGTTAAGTAGGAAAACATTTTTTCTCTAAATGAACTTTTCCACGACATTCTAATTTATTGAGATGCACCTGTAAATGAATAAGGTAAGGTGTAGAGGCATTTATTAACAATTAGCCTAACTTTAATCAACCAATGCAAGCGTGTTTCGACTACAAAAAGCTCGGTATATTAAACATTCTTTACCAAATTGGGGGGTGGGGGGTGACCTAGATTTAATTTGTGCTAGACATCCTTTACAGACACCCTTTACAAAACTATGAAAATGTGTATTAGTAAAACGAAAGATAACACTATTTTATTTAGATCCCCAAAACTGTCATAAATTGCTTCGACATACATCTGAATTCTGATTGGCCATTGCATTCATAAACTCAACGGAATCGTGTGTGATTGGTTACAATGCACAACGCTGTAAAAAATGCGTAAAAAGAAATGTGATGCAACATTAGCAGATCCAAATTTATAGCCATGCCGCGGATTGTTTTCTTATAGAATTAGAAAGATTATTAAAACTTTATAGTTATATTTATCCTGCCAGAAATATATTAGTCTCTATAATGATTAGGCCTGTCGCAATAATCAATATATCGCCTTATCGCGCAATATATGTACATGACCTCAAATGACAATAATATCGCTTATAGCAATTATTTCTGGGGCAATATATCGCACAACAAAAAGTTGTTATCGTGACAGGCCTAATAATGATAAATATATTAGTTCTAACTCGAGCTCTTTAAAGGCAGGTAGATTCTGACTGGCTGTCAGTGTTTTTTTATTGTTCATCTGCTGGAAAGAAAAAAAAAAGCTCAAAATGTGATTCCAACAATATCTTTGTTATCCTCATAGCGTGTGGACTTCCCTATTTTCATTAAATTAGAACAAATATCAAAACTTTATCGATATCGTTCTTGGTGTAAATGGGCTGTAAGAGTATAATGGTAGGACGTAAAAATATAGATATATAAAGATATGATACAGATATACACATATAAGATATGTAAAGACATTTCCATTCTACCACGATACTGGTAAATCTAATCGTGCTACAGTCAGTATCTGAAGATCAGAAAGTAGTCAAAAGGAAGAGACTTCAGTAAAGGAAAAATATCAATGAAGTGTATGGAAGTTAACAAGAATGACTCGTTCACTTAAAAGATTCGTTCATAAACAGCGATTCGTTCACGAACGAAACACCACACTGGGAAGACCATTCCTCACATCAGGAGGGGTCCCTCACACTGTAAAGTCTTCAACATGACAACACTAGCCCGAGCAGTAAATAAAACTATCTCGCCGCCACCTGAGGCATGTCGTATCGATGCAGCACGGGATGCACTGCCTCACCTCACCTCCCTTCGTAGTGTTGAGAAACACAATTAGGCGAGGAAGTCAAAAGTGAACTCCCTTCCACAACACAAAGTGGTTTCATCTTTCATGCACAACAACGTCAACGAATCTGCTGTAAACGTAATAGTTGAGCAGCATTCAAAACAACACAAATGACTTGAAATAATCCGCCTGTTTAGCTCGCTGCTTTTCCGTCCATTTAAATCACACAAACACACTGATCAGCTCCTCTACGGTCAGCTCTCAGCAGTGCGAGGTGAGGTGTTGTATAAATTAAAGACATGATTATATTAATGCATTTCTTATTAAACATGATGTTTAACAGGCTGTCCATCCTACCTGCACATCCAGCGGACAGCCATTGGTGCGCCTGTGTTTACAGATTAAAAACAACGCGATTTTCGCTTACAACCACCGGGCGTACATGTCTAATGACATAAACCAGCTGGCCAAGCGAGAACCAACGAGTTACGAGGGGTTTGAATTTATTAAACACCAACAACACGTATAAAAAAAAATATATATATATAAGATGTTTGGGATCTCTGAGTGGCCTGAAGGATAATACATGTCAAATTGTTTTCAGGCGTTTTATATTGGCGGGAGAATATAATAAAATTAAAATCTGACTATCTTTAAAAAATGTGGGGTTAGTAAGATTTTAAAATGTTTTTTTAAGAAAGCTCTTATGCTCACTAAGGCTGCATTTATTTACCCAAAATACCGTAAAACAGCAATGTTATTGCAATTTTACAAAACTTTTTAATTTATACCTGTGATGGTAAGCTGTATTTTCAGCATCATTACCCCAGTCTTCAGTGTCACATGATCCTTCAGAAATCACTCTCATTTGATGATTTGCTGTGATATATTTTTACAGTGATCTTTTTTTTCAGGATTCTTTAATGAAGAGAATTTAAATTCAAATATTTAAAAACATTATTTAAAATTGAATTTTTATGTAGCATTGTAAAAGTATTTACTGTAAGCATTTATTTTCAAACACACACACACGTGCACACACACACACACACACACACACACACACACACACACACA